GGATCATGCTAAACTAACGCCAATTGGAAAGACTCTAATCAAGTTAAGTAAGTCATCTTATTTAGTGAAAGTTAAGATTCAAGTCCGAGTTGACGCCCTTTATTATTTAACTAATTTGAATTAAATAAACTAATCATATTTGTGAAATTTAATTAACTGAACAAAAAACATTCAAAATACAATATAATAAGAATATTAATTTGTATACCCTGAACCCGTTGAAAATTGGAAATGGGTGAAATGGTTTTAAAAAATTCAAAACTAGAAAATAATAGAATATACAAGTACTTATTTAAAAAATTAAAAAAATTAGGATCAAATAAAATAATTAGATCATAAATAAAAAAATGGTTAAATTAAAAGTATGTAGTTAAAATATTTATTCAAATAAAATTAATACAAAATAATACAAAAAATAATTATTAAAAAAGTAATTCAAATAACTAAACTAAAACATAATTATTTAAGGGTAAACATAAAAATACTTTTTAATTATTATTAACAAATACTTAAATATGCATTATTTATTAATTTATTGATTTTATCATGACAAAATTTAAAAGCTAAAAGTTTCTTCAAATTAAAGAAATTAACAACGGAAAATTGTTTAGATGTCAATGTCAATGACATATTAATGATTGTCAATGATATATTAATAATAATCAGAGTATCTTACTCACATAGCTCTTCATATTATATGCAAACATTACGCATACGCCCCTTTAGAAAATGTTTAAAAATACTTCAATTTTTCATATACCTTTAGATTTTATGGCATAATTGAGAATTCGATCAACTATTGCCGTCAAACTGTTTTACTACCTCAAAAAATTCATTTAAAATGAGAAACTTTCTCATAAAATTTATTTTACATTATATTTAAAGATTAAGTATACGACATTTTTGAAAATGTGTTTTACTAACAAATTTAATTTGAATTCACTTGATTTCCTAAAGAAGACATGTTTTAATGTTTTACAAACTTTTAACATTTTTATTAGAACTATATTTTGTATTTATTATTTAATTAGTTTTATTTATGCAATGTATTTATCAAGCACTCATATCTCATAAATAGCACAGATATTTATGATTGAGTTTATAATGCGTGTGCATATTTACACATTACGCATACGCCCCCATTGCCAGTTGTGACCGCGTTTCCGGTGCTAACAAACCTTCGCTTGCTACTGCGTGTGTGTGTATGTGTTTGAGTATGTGCTGGAGTGCATTTCACAGACGGGTCATGGCCACGGCCACGGCCACGGCAACGACCATTGGCTTTTCGGTTTCAGCCTGCGCCTGGTTTCACTTTCACACACACACACACGCAGAGCAGAGCAGAGCACAACACACGGAGTACAGCAGAGCACACGGAGCACACGCACACACACACACACACATTGAGTGGCCGGGATAAACAACGCAATGGGCGCGCGCGACTTGCACTCAGCCTCGTCTTGCCAAATGCCGGCAGCAGCAGCAGCAGCAGCAGCAGCAATTGCAGCCAACACGCCTCCTCCACGCCCACGCCCACGCACCACTTGACACCAGTTTTGCCTGCAAGCGCCATCCACTTGTAACACATTCGCATCGCATCGCATCCCAGTTGTGGAGCCAGTGTTGACCAGTCCGCGGCGCGGGCGCGACTTGTTTGCTGTTTCACGACGACGACGATGATGACGCAATGCACCCTACACACAAATACAAACACACACCTATACTCACATACATACAGTAGAGCTGCACTTCCACCTCTCTAACACACACACACACACATACACACGGGCATACGCGAGAGCTGCACTGCCATTTCTCTTCTTCTGCTGCTCCTGCTCCTGCTGCATTACTCCTGTTGGCAACGGCTCTCCGCATGAGTCAAAGTCGTGCGCTCTTGGGTTCTTACTGAATGCCGACTGCAGCCACCACCTCTCGTGTGCCATGGCATGCCCATTCCCCATCTGCCGCCCACCTTGTACATGTGGCAAGTGCATTTACCTCTGCTTTGCATGCTGCAGACTGAGCTCGACTGGGTGCAGCGACTCGCTCTGTGCTTGGTGGGCACGGAGTTTGTCGTTGATTCGTGTGCGTGGCCTGGTTTCGTCGATTGGCCTTGCATGCGGTTATTTCAGTGTCAGCAGCATCTTTGTTGTTGCCCTCGATGCGATGCGGTGCGAGACGGGGCGAAGCGAGGCCACCTTCTCCTGCTTGACTTTGCCTCTGCCTGGCCGCATGCAAATCCTGCGGCACTCGCTTCTCTGTCCACACACACACACACACACACATATACACTCACAATGGTGGCTGGGCATGTTGCAGGCATTTTTGCTGGCCGATTAACGGTGCACGGTGCACGTTGCGCGTTGCTTCATGTCAAGGCAATGACCCAGTTCTTAAGTGATTCACTTTAAAATGGAATATGTATTGGTTTACTTTTAAGGAATTTCAGATAAAAAAAGATATATTGTTAATCTATATCTCGACATTTATGTATACAAGTTCTTCTAGACCAGCATTGTTATTTGTGAGTGATTATTCTTTTAAACAATTTTATTATCTATAGCTATCGATTTCTATATCAAATAGCCCTTTGAACTTTAATAAGTTTTGCGGGTTTTGAAAGATGTCTATATCAACAAGTAAGACGGACGGCCAGACAAACGGACAGGGCTAAATCGACTCAGCTCGTCGCCCTGATCAAGAATATATATACTTTGTGGGGTCTGCCACGCCTCCTTTTGCCTGTTACATACATTTCAACATAACCATTATACCCTGATTTCCCATTTTCAATGGGCTCAGAGTATAAAAACACCAATCAATGACTCTTTCGTTCAATTTATCTTTATTCGATTTGCCATGTTCCATATCAAATCGATATATACCGTATTTAATTAATCAACAGAAAGGAATAGATCTCCATAGAATTTTCAACTTCATCTTTATCAATTTGCTCTTTACTTTGCTACTTCTTTTATATTAGTAGACAACTATTTGATCATATCAAAACGTTAAGCAACTAGAAATTAATCTAAATTCAGTACACACAATTTCCCGGGGAGCCATTATAGCCGGGCGGACAGATGCATAGTGGGATTAAGCACAATCCTTTATTCGAACAGGTTAGATTATCCGGACATGCGATCATGCTGCAGTCGACTTGCTCAAAAATGGCACATTGGATAATATTATCGTTATAGGTACCTGTAAAGAACTTGAGCCATGAAGAGTCCTTAAATCACATGAGAAGTAGTTCCCAGATTTATCACCATTTATTGTAGAGTTGAGCGCAGAATAAAATACAAATAGTGAGCAAAACAGAACTAAAAACCATCCAGGCATGATGCTACGTGACTGAGAACTATAAAAACACTTTGTAATATATGCACTTGCTACACGTGCTAGGTATACTTAGCGATTGGTATAGCTAATTAGCATTACTAATTATTTTAAAAGATTCTTTGTTAGATTAGAAGTGGAAATTGAACAAATGGAAACTTTCTCTTCGAAACATCGCGACTAGGAGATGCTCTGAGTCTTACACAGCTACTATTCCAATTATTCTACGCTTGGACCTTATACTGAGAACTTCTTTGTTTGGGACGAAAAAAGCGTGGTATAAGAAATTGAAGAATTATTAAATCTTTGTATTCATTGTATAGACCTAAATATTGAATCTGTAATCTTTAATATGTCAATAGGTTTAAATTGAATACTTATATATAAAAATGGTTCAAAAAAGCTGGCCAAGACTTTAGATTGTGGATAACAAATATTGTAAGTATATCGTATAAAAAGTTAAGTGAGATACGCTAAATTTGGACGTTTTTCCACACATTTCCCATTGATTTTGCGATAGCCAAAACGACAGACGCAAGTCGGATTGTAGCAGTAGTTTCTTCCCGGACAGTATTCCCCGGACGAGCACTCGACCATCGTACAGCTAACTTCCTCATTGATGCCACAACGCACGCCCACAACTTGATAGGGATCTGTGAAGAAGTTGAGCCATCAGAGCGTTTAAGCCAGATGATAAAAAGGTCCCCCACTAATCACCATTTTGTGTGAAGCTGAGCGCAGGATAGAAATATCCAAATAAACAGGCAAAAAGAGCTACAAACCAACCATACATGATGGGACGTGACTGAGAACTTTATAATCACAATCTAATATATGAAATTACTCTAATTCACTTGGCGCTTGGAATAGCTAAATAGCATGACTAATTTAGTCATGCGTATCGCTGTTAGATTATAATAGCTGGCAATTAAATCTGTTTAGAAATAAATGGAATAACTTAGAATATATATTTAAAAGAGCCTACAAACATTAGGGTGAGATGTTTCTAATTAATCATTAAAAAATCATTCCTAATTTTCATTTTGTGTTCTAAAAGCTTCGACTTAATCACCTATTTAAAAAGAAAATTTCTATTTTTCTTAATTTTTATAATTTTAAATAAATTGCTATGATTTGTGGATGGTTAGGCTACTTATATGCCAATATGAACAAAATACAAATTTTACTTACCTAAGCAATGCGTATGTTTTCAAAAATTAAAATATAAATTCATTGCGAAATGAATTCATTTTTATTCACTAATACAAAAATCAGCCGTTAATTTCCACAGCTTTAAGAGAGCAACTAGCTCTCGCTAACTCTCTCCCACTCGCTGTCTGGACTAGTCTCTCATGCTCCTAGCATGCACAAGCACACACACACATACACACACAGATATAAACATGTAAAGCCATGCCGGCACGAAGCTTCGTACTTTTGTCTCGTGTTCAGCACAAACATACGCACACACACATGCACACGAGCAGCGCACAGGAGAAGTTGGAGTGTACAAGCGAGATGGCAGCGGGTCGGTCAGTACCAAACTTGTGCCACACGCCGTTAGGTGGCCCTGTCGTGAATGCGGCAGCCGACACAGACATAGACGCTCTGCCTCGAAGCTGGTGTTTCGTATGGGTTGCATGACGTGGAGGCGCCCTCATAGTGCAGCACTCGCAGTCACAGCGCTAAACAACGATATTCGGGTACCTGCCCACTCCTTTAGCCCGGCCTAGCCAGGGTAACAATGCAAACAGTTTATTTTTTAATCATTTTTTTAAAAAAATTGTGTGCTGCCGCGCGGGAATTCACGTCGCTCGCTCGTCTCGATAAGTGTTTTCAAGAGTTTGTCTGTGTGTGTAAGTGTTTGAGAGAACTGCAAACACGTAGCGAAAACGGAACGAAAAAACGTAAGCTACATTACCAATCGGGTGCACTTTCACATTGTGTTGTCCAGCCGATCGGCTGCGACGACTTCGCCAGCGCCAGCGCCAACGTCAGCGCTAACGTCAGCGTCAGCATCGGCTTTTCTTTGTGAGCGACGCGACGGGCGCCTTATTGCTGCCTGCTCCTGCCTTTGATTTTTATTGTGTCACGCGCTCGCCGAAAAAAAAAAGAATCCAAAAAAAAATATATAAATAAAACAAAACTACGACACGTGTCTCAAGTGAAAGTCCATTTTACAACATTTAATAAAGATGTCTCGGATGCATATTGTCTGCCGACAGCTGCCCAAAAGTGAGCTGGTATTTAAATACACTTGTGTCTGTGTGTGTGTGTGTGTAGTTGTATTTCTGTGTTTGCGTTCCTCTCTCAATTAAACACGACACTAATTTGCGTACTTAGTGAAAATCGATATGACCAAAACTTGCCCTTTACGCTATGCGTTATCTCACCCTTTTCGTCTAACTTTTTTTCATTTCTTGAGTTAGGCACAAATTATTTAATTATTGACTTTTTGAAAATTTTTGTGGAATTAATGCAAAATGTTATAAAATCACACTCGCACACATACGTAAATGCATGCACATATACGCTAACGGGACAACCCTAACCTAAACACAATGTGCCGACATACTGAATGCGAACTGCCGCACAGTGGTATGAACTGTTGAGAACATCGTGAAATTTATATAAAATATTTGAAAGAAATACGCAAGCATATTTTTGCTGACTTTTGACTACAAGAAATTAAAAATTGAGAACACAAATCGTACTTTATTCAATATAATTGATCTGTCATTAAACTTAGTATTCAAATATATAGTGTAATACTAATCGAAATATATTATTATATTTTTGGAAACCTATTTTATTATAGTCTTTAATATGGCATCATGTTACATATGTAAACACATTATGAATTGCTTGTTTGAATAAATCACCCAAATCGCAAAAATCTACGACCCACTGTGCAGGCTAGTGTAGTTTGTGTTCGTGCTTTTGCTCGTATTGCGCGCAGGTTTGCCGCTCTTTTTGTTGCTTCTCACGCTGCCGGCATACTACGTGTATATGTATTTAGTCTATATACTTGTGTATGTATGTATATGTGCGCGCTTGTGTGTACGTGGGTGCGCGTTTGAGCAGTCAAAATAATAACAGCGGCTGCGATTTCACTTTCCATTTAGAAACCCAGAGCCGGCCTAATCTTAAATTCTTTGGGATTTTTAGAATTTGATGTAAACACATGCATTCAATTTGTGTATGCACTGCAAGTGTATAAGTGTATGTACACACATATGTATGTACATGCATGTAAAAATTAGTCTAATTTTAATAAAAATAATAATAATAATTTTTTTAAATAATAATAATAATAATAATAATGTGTAGGATTTTTTTGTTTTATTCTTATGCACATACATATATAAACTCATTATCTTCCGTCCATCTTGAGTCTGTATCTTGTCTTCTAAAACTTTCATAAACTACAGCTCGGAAAATAATTCTTTATACAAAAAATTTACTTGCAGTTGCTAACAATCCGACGTAAAAGATAGCTTCCGATCCGCCGGAATCCTCTAGCGAGTCGAGCAACGAACGCACAATGAATTTCACACCGTTTGGCAACACGTTTCCGGGCCTGTCGCAATTTACGACGACGACGTCGTCGCAGCTGGTGTCGACGGTAACTGCCGCTGTGGCCGTTGGCGATGCCGATGTGACTGCGGCCAACAACAACCCACAGCAACAGCAGCAGCAGCAACAGGAGCCTGGTGGCAGCGGCAACCGCTATCAGCAGCAACACCAGCAGCAGCAGCAGCAGCAGCAGGTGACAGCAGGGGTGTCCATGGCGCACTTTAGTCAGCCGAGCAGCAGCGCTGCCGCAGCCGCCGGCAGCAAATTCCGCAGCGGGCAGGAAGAGGCACTGCAAGGTGACAAATATAATGGGCATCTGGTGACCACTGCCGCACAGCAGCAGCAACAACAACAGCAGCAACAGCAGCAGCAGCAGCCGCAATATGCGACCGTCTATACGGCAAGTGCCACGACGAGTGCAGTGGATGCCATGCAGGCGAGCAGCTCCGGACAGCAGCAGCTGCAGCAGCAACAAGTGGTGGCACCACAAGAGCTAACACAGGATCTATGCAATGCCATATTGCAGCAACAAGGTGAGTGGAGTACCTAAACTCTAAAGCAACGCTATCAATGCCTTCTACTTGCCTTTGCAGTGCTACAGAATACCTCGTGGCAAACGATCACGCCCGGCACGACCGTCGCTGACTACCTCTCGCATCTTCCAGCCAATACGTTGCCACTCTCGCTGCACCACTTTCTCAAGTACTCCGCCGAGACAATCAAAAAGGAGAATCAACAGAATGTGGTATCTATCGATTGTAATATGTCTTCTAGCCTATCGCTAATCTCTCTTACAAGCAGGTGCTGCAGGTGCAGACGGGACCAGGCGCCGCCATTGGCATCAATACCATTGGCACGACGACAACCATTAGCATACCTCAGGAGCAGCAGCCACTGCATCAGCAACAACAGCAACAGCAACAGCTGCCGCAACAACAGCAGCAGCAACAGCAGCAGGCAACACTGCAGCTGCAGACACAAAGCGTGGTGGCAAGCAGCTCGACATCTGTCAGTGGCACCAAGAAGAAGAAGCGCAAAAAGCGCTCCAAGGACCGCAAGCCTAAGCTGCGTCCCGGCGAAATCCGAATGGGCACAGCGTTGGATGGTAGCCCGCTCTACATGTGCCCCGAATGCCATGTAGCGTATCCGGAGCCGGAGCTGCTCGAGGTGCACCTGGTGGGGCACAATCTGGAGCGACGCTATGTGTGCGACATCTGTCAGGCATCGCTGAAGCGCAAGGATCACCTGACACGGCACAAGCAATCGCATAATCCCGAGCGGCCGTACATCTGCACAGTCTGCCTGAAGGCGTTCAAGCGCAAGGAGCAGCTGAGCCTGCACTTTGTGATTCATTCGGGCGAGAAACGGCATCAGTGCCAGGAGTGCGGCAAAGGCTTCTACCGCAAGGATCATCTGCGCAAGCACACCCGCTCCCACATAGCCAGGCGTGTCAAGGCCGAGCTGAATAGCCATGTGCGCCGAGAGAACGGCACCAGCATGTTGCAGCCGGTGGTGACAGCGGCGACAACGGCCGCCGTGCAGCATGCCAATCAGCAACAATTGCAGCTCCAACAACAACAGCAGCAGCAGCAGCAACAACAACAACAGCAGCAGCAGCAACAACAGCAGCAACAGCAACAACAGCAGCAGCAGCAACAACAGCAACATCACATAGTCGTCAGCCAGCAGCAGCAGCAACAACAACAGCAGCAACAGCAACAGACAACCGCCCAGCAGCAGCAGCAACAGCAGCAAATGTTAAATTAGCCAAATGATTTTTGTAAAGTCAGTTAAATCAAAATTCAAAATCCATGCCACACATTTGATGCCGCTTGCGGCAGCAACAGCAACTGTTGCCGCACGCACAAAATTCAAGTTCAAGGAAACATAACTCTCTCGGTCCACGCAATTTAATTGACTCACACAAATCGGATATACGAATATCGTCGAGGATATTCAGCAAATGCAATAGCTAAAATTGTAAAGTCGTCTCTCTGGGGGCACTTTCCAACACTGTACAATTATTCCTAGGCAAACAAAGTGACACACAAAGCTAGTCCTAATATACTATATAGTGCTATAAAACTGGGACCATAAACTTAATCAATTATGTCTGATTTAAGCTAAAAAATATGCAGAACTATAGTAAATCGATCGTAAATTAAGAAATTCTAAGATCCTTATAAAAATTGTTGTATTATAAATTATTATTATATTTGATGTATCTTTTATATCTGTGAATAAGTAAAAATTGTAATTTTGAATTCGATATATTTGATATTTAAGCGATGAAGCATGACTCCTATATTAAATTGAAATCTTGATTTATATATTTTCCTCTAAGTACTGCACACAACTTGTTCCTATGGAACTTTAATGATATAGCTATCTGTAATATTATATGAAAAGTTCTGTTAAATATGCTGAAGATTCTGTTCCTCAATGATGTACAATACCATCTATTTATTGTGCTCCACTTAAGTATATCTTGATCAATAAGTTCCAAGTTTTGTTGATATTCGAGATCTTCACGTTTGGGTCCCAGTTGTGCCGATTGTAAAGGCTCATCGGCTATTAATTTAAGACAAAGATATTATAATTTTATATGCGAATCGCGTATTTTAGTGAAATGTATTTTTGTATAAAGTGAAAATATGTATATAATATATATATATATTGAAATATGTTGCATTTAAATGCAGCAAACTATTTATGTACTCCTAATAATGAAACCAAGCGCAATTTAGATTTAAGAACAAACTAGATCTACATATGTATGTGAATGTACTATGACTTTTGATAACACTGATTAAAAAATTTGTAAATACACTCGAGTTAGTTTCTCATTTAATATTTATTTATACAATTACATGTTTACAATTCTTATGAAAATTAATTTTGTTGATGCCTTTGTGAAAGTTGTCAACCATACGAAAATTATGAAAATTGGAACGTTTTAGGCAATTTGTATTACTAATAGATGACAGCGAAAGCGGATATTAAGAAGATATTTTTTAATGTATAACAAATTCTCATCACGTTCTCGGAATATTTTATGAACTTTTCTACAAAATTAAAGGTTAAATTCATGGAAAGCGAAAAGGAAACCAAGACTGTCGACAATGCCTCCCGTTTTGATTGTAACATCTGCTTAGAAACGGCCAAGAATGCGGTGATCTGTGTATGCGGCCATCTCTTCTGTTGGCCCTGCCTGCATCTGTGGATGCTGACGCCCTGCGACCTACGTCGATGCTGTCCGGTGTGTCGAACCAAGTTGGATATCACGAAAATCATACCGCTCTATGGTCGCAACAGTGCGATACAGGACCTCAACGATGTGATGGCGCCACGACCTCAGCCTCTGCTTCAGGAACCGAATGCACCGAGGGGTTCCCTCTATTTTGGCTTTCTCATGGGCTTTCAAACGTCCTTTGGCTACGGCAGCTTCCCAATGGAGACTATGGTATCCGTTCTGAATTTAAACGACGAACAGGCGCTGTTTTTTCTTCTCGGCCTCTTTTGCATTGGCTGGCTGCTGTACTAGCGAGGAGAGAAATGAAATTCGAATGGACTTTTTGCATATTCTTATTATATTGTATATATATATATACGTATAGGTCCAACTTAGTAATACAGCTGTTGTACTCACTAATTAAGTAAATGGTAATCAGATCTGAAGTGCTTGTTTTGATTATTATTATTATTATTATTTTTTTTTTTTTTTTTTAAATTAATATTGTTTAAAAATTATATCGAGTCATTCGCTTTAATCTAGATCATCATTTAATAATAATTGTCAACATTTGTTTTCTTACTTGTAATTAATTAATTTCGGTAAACTATATTTATTATGCACCATTTATTATATTCAATCAAATAATCAGTATAATTATGATGTAATTATAATTAATTATTCATGTAGTTGTATGCGATTTGTGTATGTATATGCTTTTATCATATTTACGTGCCGTTCTTTATATATGTGTATATTTATATACTCTATATGATCGATCATTGCCTGCGTACAGCTTAAATTAAGATATTACAAAATATACGTTAGGTTCATTAAATATGTAGGCAATTAAGGAAGTTGGCGTTTCAAGGGACCGGGAGAGGGCGGTTTAAGCGCCAGGGGCGTTAACGGATAATAACTACTACATCGCAGAGATTGGCAGATTCATTCAGTCAAGCATTTGTAAAAAATATGATGCTTGAACTAATTTCACCTGCGAGAACAATTTCTTATTTCAAAACGATTTCATTTATATATATATATATATAAGAGACATTTGCTTGTGTGTGCGTTTAGGTATGCCTGCCTGTGTGGTTGTGTATGTGTAGGTGCCAATAGCTGCAGAGCGTCCAGGACAGCCAAGTCCATGAGACACTTCCTCACTCATAAATTTTTACTACAAGTCGAGTCTTTCAAAAATGTCACATTGTTTCTTTTGTTGTATACGAGTGTGTGTGTGCATGTGTGTGTATGGATGATTATTTTTGGTTGATTTGTTGTGTTTCGTTTTCGTTGCGCAAAGAGAAATTTAATCACTGTACAATAGAGCGACGGGGAACACTTTCGCCTACTCAGGAGCAGACCTATGGGCCACACAGATATTTTCGCTTCTGGTCGTCTATATAATCGCGCGTAGACATTTGGATGGCTTGCTGCAGCATCTCGTTCTCATTGATGCCTGTAAGGAGTCGAAAGTAAGTAATCGCTATAAATTACAATTAGCAATTGCTGCACCCACCGTCGTTGGCATAGGAGGCCTCTAGCAACTCCTGATAAAAGCTCGAGTAGCTCTGCTTGGGCGGCGACTTGGTTTCCACGCATTTGGGCGGTGACTGCGACGACTGCTTGGAGGTGCATGGCTGTTGCTCTGCTTCCGGAGTGCGTTCCCTAGCAACTGCTGGAGCAGCATCACGTTTCGGACTCTTGCGCTGCGGTGTTTCATGTACATGTGTTTCCAAGCTACACGAATACATTAATGTGAGATCAGTTGATCAAGGATGAAGTGGTAATTGTCACCTACCTATTGCCTGTCTCGCGCACTTCGTGGCGGCGCTTCTTGCTGCTGCGCAGATTGTTGCTGCGACGCTGTGTTTTGGACAGTTTGTTGGAGCGCTGAGCTAGGGCTGTGTTGGGCGAGGCATTGCCGCCACAGTGACCCACGGAGCTGGTGCTGCTCATATCTGTTGCGTCACTCTCGTAGCCGCCCAGTTCATTTACCTCGGGCGGCAGCTTGTGTGCGTATTGACCAAGTGTTTTAGGCGAGAGTGTATAAACGGTGGCCGGGCCATCGCTAATGCTGGAGCTGTTAATTGGGGCTGCTGTGTTGCTGTTGTTATTACTACTGCCACCGCCACCGCCGCTGCATCCGCCATCACTCGAGTACTTGGAGGGCGAGGCGTCTGAGTCGGTGAGTGCCTCGGCCGAAGTCACCGTTGAAGATGTTGCCGAACCGGCGGCTGTATTGTTACTGCGCGAACGCTGCATATTATCACGGCACCACTGCAAATAAGACTCACGAGCGATTTGCTCCTCGATGGCCTCGTTGGTGGCTTCCCAGTCTGTTGTCTTCAGCTTATCCTCAAACATTGTCTATGCAAGCAGAATATAAATATTATGGGAACTTAATTAGTCATAGACGGAGTAGACACTGACCTGTTCAATTTCCAGCTGCTCGCTTAGGCGCACTGCCTCCTTGGTCTGAAACTCGGGCTTGTAACCAGCCAAGCCCAAGCCGACGCCGACGGTGGCATTATACGGATCCAGTATGGCATTGTAGTGGGAGCCTCGTTGATAGGACAGACGCAACGGCGGATAGCCAGCTTGTGATTGCTCTGAATTGAAGATGTTAATGGGCGCTGCAATTATCGAAAAGTGCGTTAGAATATTAGGTCTATACAAATATAGCAATATGACTTAGAGATTGTTGAAGTATAAGGGCGATACTACAATAGCGCTATATTAAATTAATATTAAGCTTTTTCCCTTCAATAACAGTTACTTCTTAATAAACACTGTTAATTCTTCCATCCAAACTATTGACGACAAAGGCCTATGGAAAGAAAAACATCCTTAAAACAGTCTAAAATTCTAAACACAATAAGATGGGTCAACTTATCTAATAACATTCTATATAACACCCGGTATGAAATTCACTACCTAAAATAATTAGCACGTTTCAGTTCTTGCGTCCAACTACGACGCCGACTGCGCAATTTGTGGAAAATTCATTTGAAAAAAGATTATCTGCTGATAGTTTAGAAATGGGATCACGGGATTTGTTTACTCACTCGACTGATAACAGAAGACTTCGACGGTGCGACTGTAGATCTCTGATATGGCCTGAATCTCGATGTGGTTGCCGTGTGCATCGCGGGCGCGCTTGCGCTGAATATACCCATTGATGTCCTCGGTGACAAACTGGCCAAAGTATTCGCGATTCTCATGCTATAACAAAAATACAGACGAAATTTTGAGATGAAAGAGTACATGTATAGAATATTTGAATATATTACTATATAGTCCATTGTGTGCTGCCGTATGACATCGTGCATGCCCTCATCGCCGTAAATCTGCAGAGAGATGGAGCGAAACAGGCAGGCGCCGTCTTCCTCTACGGCCCTCAGTTCGTAGCCGCGCTTCTCCATGCATTTGGCAAACTCTTCGTCGCGCCGTTTCCACTCCTCTGCCGAAATAGTGCGCTCCTTCGGCTGCAAGTGTTCGTCACCACTATTGTAACCAGAGAATGTATCTTCGACGGCCTTCAGCATATTGGCTGCTGCAGCAGCCGGCGTCATCTGAGTCTGCGCGTTCGGCACATTAGTACAGCCCAAGCCCAGATGCTCTGGTGATTTGCGACCCACAGCAGTGGCATTGCTGCTGTTGACCGTTCCGGCAGCCACGGCAGCTCCGACGACTGAATGGGGACTGCTGCATTTGCTGCTGACGCCCGCAACTCCGCCACCAACCACAGTTGCATGATTCAGTTTCTCACGCTCCAAACGATCCCGTTTGTGATGGTGTGCATGGCCTTCATGGTGTTCACGACGCTTCGAGCGGGAACTGTAATGCAAACGAGATTGACGGGGATTAAATAAGGTTGAATAACACGTCTCATTGAGAATGCTACAGCCCACATACATAATAATGTGTTTCAAAGAAAAATTTGATTCATTGCATTAAATAGGATCTTCATAAAAATGTTAATAAACCAGTAAATGTATATAGACCAAAACAGTTCCTTCTCTGCATTCTAATCTACGTAATAGCTATAAAGTTATATATAAATATAACTGAAATAAGTAGCAATTTCAGGAATAAGGTAATGAAGATGATTTATTAAATTATTGATTTTAATATTTGAACGTATTTATGTTGTCTTTTAGTTTCTTCTATATTTCATATCTCATTAGTCGAATAGATTAAGAGATATGCTCAAAGGAACGAGTCCGTGAATATGAAACCTAATTAAGACTTACCTCTTATGTGGACTGCAGCGGTGTGTGCGTGTCAGTTCGTCGTAGACTTCGCCGCGTCGTTGTGGACTCTGCGGGCATTAAAGAAATTTAAATGTTAAGCAAAGTGGTTATAGGTAACAATACAACACACATACCTGGCCATGCCCATCGATGACGACATTGCGATGCGATTGATTGACAACCGATTGCTCGACGACCACTACCTGCCCAGAGACGTGAGCCTCGGTGGCATCCCCATCGACAACGCGCTTGCCACTTGGCGCACTGACTGGCTTGATGGTCATGCTTTGGCTTTAGCTGCTACTGCGGCTGCGGCTATTGTCAGTGAACTACCACGCAATACTTTAACGAGCAGCTCCAAACGAAATCTTCGAACGTGAAAGCTTAACACATGTGTGAATGGCAAATTTGGTTTAGCTGTTTGGCCAGCTCAGAATTAGATTTTCTTCTCCGTCTATATATAATACAGACATATATATTTAAATTTATATAAACATATATATTTGTATATATATCTGAATATCTATGTGTGGGGTAACACTTTTGCAGCAAGTTCTTTGTCCGTGTAGCACAGGATTCCGTTGCTTTAGATGCACGCACTTGTTCACTTTTCTATATATGTATATTATTTTGTTTTATTTTGTTATTGTTGTTGTTGTTATGGTTGTGACCGCTGCTCTCAAAAAAGTTGTTTTAATAATATACAACTATGAAATCATTTACATAGCCAGAGTAAATGGTGAAAATTTTGTGATTTTCATTTGATTGTGTGTGTATGTATGTGCGTTTGTGTAGTGTTTGCTCGCAATCGCCTTTGTCTCTTGCACTGTTGCAGAGACGATTAATAAAATACCTTGCTTCGCCTAGTTGTATAATTACATACACTGCACTCTAGGGAAGACCACCAATTTCATAGTTTATAAAATTATTTGCACAAATTTTTATTATTTTTTTGGTTGTTTTGGTTTGTTGTTAGAAACGTAAAAGCCAGGATAGCCTGTTCGATTTTTTATTTACACCAACTACGAACTCGTCAGATGCTCACGCTGTGCTTCTTCTTGCTTCTTTGGTGTTTTTTAGGCCTTTTTAATAAGTCAGCTTGTCACGACATACGGCGAACATCTGATGAATATCATCATATTGACCGCCAGTGTTGCCATACTAGCCTTATTCTGGTACATTTTTAGCTATTAAATAATTACAACGTTCTGTTGATCAAAAACAGCTAACAATAGTCAGTATTTAAATATAACAGAAAACAAAACTGTTAATACTTCTTTTCCTCGATTCAAACACTCTTTTAGTAATTCAAATTAGAGGCTTTATTTCGAATGTTAACCTAAGGCAAATAATATTGTGAGCTGTATTTAATTTAAAAAATAAATTTAAGCTGAGAATTTCATTGCATTGCCTATATTTATGAGCAAATATTTAAACAAATGTGCTTCCATATACGTCTATTCTAATAATATTAAGCAGAATATAATATCCAAATAACAGTTAAGCTAATATTGTAATAGATTCATAGCGTCTTCTTAATGTATGTATATTGAAACAGTGGAGACTATGTATACATTAATGTACAGAGTTATTTTCTAAAAATATATCGAGCATTTTTCTGAATTGTCTTTAATTAAAAAGAGCGTAAATATATTCATTTGCATATGTATGTATGTATATATTTGATAAATTTAAAATAACAGAGCTGTCAACATTTCATTTAAAAAGGACAAAAATTGTTAATTAACATATTGACCATTCCAAACATTGGCGCCCCATCCATTTCCATAATAGCCCCATGGCGGTCTGGCTCCTATCCATTGACCCTGTGTTCCCCACCAGTATGGATATTGTCCAATACCATAATTTGGGCCACCTCGAGCCGCGAACCTTCCAGCTTTTATATGTGCTTTTCTTGGATCAGCAAATTCTTGACCCCTTTTAATGACTTTTCCAAAAAAGCCCGCCTGGATTGGTTGGGTATTTGTTAAACGAGACGCAAACACTTCTGTTTCACTTCGAGTGTCCTCATTAGCTTTTATAGTAGATCCAGATTGACTATTTTCGACTATTTCAGGCTCAACTGACGCGGTAGATTTCTTAGTTGTTGTGGTCGTCTCTCCTAGAATAACTTTCACAACGGGATCAACTAATGAGCCAGTTTTTTTAGTAGTCGTAGTAGTAGAAGTCGTTGTCGAAGAAGATCCAGACTGGTTGTTTCCGGAAATTACTTTCTCGGCAGGCTTCGTTGAAGAGCCAGACTTAGTAGTGGTCGTCGTAGTCTTCGTCTCAGAGGATCCAGATTGGCTGTTTCCGGAAACGACTTTCACGGCAGGTCCAGCTGATGAGCCAGTTTTCTTAGTGACAATGGTTGTGGTAGTCTTCGTCTCAGAGGATCCAGATTGACTGTTTCCGGAAATGACTTTCTCGGCAGGCTTCGCTGAAGATCCAGACTTAGTAGTGGTCGTCGTAGTCTTCGTCTCAGAGGATCCAGATTGG